TTTTTTTTTTTTTTTTGGTTTCATTTTGCAGGTTGAATGTGAACCATATAGTATAACGGAATAATTTGGTACAACCCCATATATTGATGAGAAGCATTCAAAGAAGAATGCAAGTAACTATTATTTCATTTGTATTTGCTATGAATTATAGTGATGTTTTTGTGGAATTGAATATATCTAAAGACTGTTGAACTTTGTAAATCGTGCCATTGAAGATTTTTCATGTTCACTGTTCTCTTTATTTTCTTATACAGATGAGATAACCCACGGTCACATGCAGGCTCCCGGCGCCGACGATCTCGTGGCGGCTAGAACCAAAGTGGCGACCTGGCTACACGGCTCGGCTGGAGAAGACAGGTTAAAGGCGACGGAGATGATTAAAGCAATGATCGAGGATGGTGTGCGGGTGTGGGCCGATCGGGCAGCGCTGATCCCCAATCTGTGGGATGTTATGCCAGAACCTTCAAAAACTGGGAGAATCTCGTTTACGAGTCCGTAAAATTTCACCGAAACCCAAAATGAGGGAAAATACTTGAGAGGATGTACCATTTTGTTGTGGGGACGGTATGAAAAATTTAAATGGCCATATGAATTCATTTATGCCTTGCTTTGTTGTCAAGTGATCTTTTTAGAAGCTAACTGCTGGTTTTTGTGGTGTTGTATTTTAGGGGTTGTCTAAATTTGGAGTCATAGGAGAAGCTTCAATCGATTTCTCGAATTATGTCGAAGCAAACAAGGTATCGATGGTGTCTCTTTCTCTCAAATCTTCAAAACTTGAAGTTGTACTAAACGTATGCAGTAATTTTTTTTCTCCCTTTGTTTTCGAAATTCATAATGTTTGCTTGCGGAGGTATTTTTATAGTTTAATTGGTAACCAGTTTGCACTGATCCTGGTTCAGACCTTGGTTTTATTTCTTTAGGTAATGGTAATTTTCCTAAAAAAATATATACTTACAGGTGTCAATTAAGAGAATGCTGGAGTTTGTTGAACACAGGTGGTGCTAATTACTGAAGTTTATGTTTTTTCCCTTCAATATTTACATTTAGTCGTAGGCAATGCTAACTTGAAAGTTTTTGAACTTTTTCCCACAGGGAGGAAGAAGACAACTAGAGCATAAAATCGGATTATAAAGATCACTGCTTGAAGGGACATATGGAAAATGGTGACCTAGACGAGCACATGAGGAGCAACTCTGACATATTTCACCTTCATCATAACTTTTACCACTTTTATGAAAATGGTGGCACTTTTATTTTCATTTTTATTTACAAATTATGTTTTGTATCACAGGTTGTGTCATATCGTTTCCAACATTAGTGCCGCACAGGCCCCGCCGTGGGTCCAGCTGGTCAGACATCACGATGTCAAGCTCAGAGAGCGACAACGGGCATCACAAGTACCTTAGAAACTTGGCCCTTGAGGCCGTAAGCACATACATTTTCCAAACTTTTTTATTGCTTCTTGACATTTGCCTGTCGTTTGTGTTTGTGTTCGGCTGTGTACGAAAAGATCTAGCTTCGTTCTCTCTTTCCACGTTCGGTTGATTTATTTTCGAACGTTCAAGAATTGTTTAAATGTAGTGGTTTTTGTTAACGAAATCATCTTTAACTGCGCAGGCATTAAGTGAGACAACCCAGACAACCTCCATTGCTCGACTTGAAGTCGTTGGCTTCTGACCCTAATGAAAACTTTTGGACAAAGTTTACTCTGGAAGGTTCCAAAACTACGCCACCCCCCTAGCCGTGCGAGTTTAAATGGAAAGATTAGTGCACCAAAGTATTCAGGTGAGATGTTTAGCTAAAAGCCCTTCAAAACATGTTATAAGGTATTTAAGAGCTTATAAGCTCATAAAATAATCAGTTTTTCACCTTGAAATAACAACTTATGAGTTGTTTCACACTTCAGAGTGGTTTTAAAGGTCTTACAAATTCTTAAAAATGTTTTTGATGATTTTTTCCCCGAAAGAATAGTTTATTTGCGGTTTATTGAAAAAAGGTATTAAAATAATCGACAGTTTGTATAGGGAGTTGAAATCAGTAGTTGTAGCGTTATCTAGACAAGCCTCAATGTCTAATCTAAAACTGCATACCCTCCGTAAGCAGATTGTAAAGGAAAGCAAAAGGGGGCAAGGTGTAAAAAGGATAGAATCCATGTGTTTCTATGTAGTATCTGCAATAGCTGTCTGATCCATTGTTATTTCCTCCTATCATGTTCTTTCAGTAATCACTGGGGGCTTTGACTCGAAACTTGTGATGTGGGACTTCTCCAAAGGACGTGCAAACAAAACTCAAGTAGGCAAATCAGGAGGGTCCCAAGGGGAGCAATGAAAGCAGCAAGGTGGCTGATGGTTGAGCTCGACCATAGGGAGAGGCTCGATGTAATCACAACCAATTATATTCTTTTTCTGAGAGTGTTGGGCGAGTAAGCAAGTAACAAATAGGGTGTAGAATAGTTTATGTGTTGTTTATTGAAAAAAGTTGTTAAAAAATTTGGCAGTTTGTGTAGAGAGCTGAAATCAGAAATGGCAGCTTTATCTTGACAAGCCTCAATGTCTGATCTAGAGCTACATATCATCCGTAAGCAGATTGTAAAGGAAAGCGAAAGGAGGCAGACATTTTTTAAAGAGGTAGTTTGCTTCAAACAGGAAACAGATGCTCTGAGGGGAGAATGCGAAAGGATCAACAAGTTCACTATGTTGTTATTTGTTAAAGAGGTGATTTCTTTGAGGAATTTACTTATGACGGGATGAACTATGTTTTGTATGATTGTGTATATATATACAAGGACGGTGAACCAGCACCCTACATTGGAAAACTTATTGAGATTTGGGAAAACAGTGACAAGTCTAAGAAGATAAAAGTTCAATGGCTTTGTAGGCCCTCCAAAATATCTGCTCATTTAAAAGATATAGAGTTGTTGGACAATGAACTTTTCTTTGCTTTGGGTGATGGCAAAGGTCTTGCGAATATATATCCTGTGGTGATTTAGAAACTATATTTGGTTGTTACTTTAAATCTGACTTATATACTTACCAGAGTTTTATTATAAACTTTTTAGTTAGTACCTTAATATACCATTTTTTTTAGTACATTTACAAATCTGGTGACTAAGCAGTTTATGAAATAAGTGTTTGATAGAAGATTTTTGTTGGTCTTTACAATTTACTGCTAAATTATTCTCTTGGTCCATTGTGCATGATCTGTTTATTAGAGTTTCACATGCAGGATACAAACATGATGCTTGGTTGGGAGTGAATGGGTCATGTTGTATATGGTAATTATTATTGTTATGTCTTTAATATTAATATTCAACTATGAAGCTTGTGATTTTTGTAATTGATGTATATATTTGCTTTATGTGTGTGATTTATGAATAGAATAATTATGTAGCATTCTTCATAACTAACTATCAATCGGTTATTTGTTGGGTTTATGGGGATCTTTTATTGTGCGACGTGCAGTCTAAAGAGTTTGTTCTGATCTTGCTGTTATTTGGTAATTTCTGGTGGACGATTGATATACTTATGGGGTAATTTAAATCCTGCAGCAGTTTCTTAGGGACGACAATTGCACCGGAGACGATGGTTGAGATGAACGATCCGGCTTGACGGATGGTGTCCTGGCAATGCGTTATATTCAATCGAGTCTAAAAAATGGCTGCCAAGTTTGATTGCGATTGCCACTTTAGTTTTTGTTCTGAATTCATCGCACTTTGGTGTTTATGTGTTCTATTATATGTGGACCAAATTGTTGTGTTTCTGTTTGATCTTTGTTTTGTATTTGTGGTTATTGAGGTGGTGTATAGTTTTAATGATTAAATATTTATGGGACTGCATTTGTTATTTGTTTATTTTTTAGAAAGTGGCTTGAGTTTTTCCAATGGTAGGTTCTTTTGGGAAAAAAGGTGGAGTCTTTGTGGAGTATCCTATGGTCTGATTCTCTTGTCTGTGTCGGCTCGTGATAGAGTGATAAACGAAACAGTTGCTCCAAAGAAAATCCATCTATAGCAGAAAGATGAGGGAGTATTCCTAAAAACCTGGATGGACCATACCTGATCCATGTTTTCGTACTATGTAAACAGTTGGCAGCATGTATACTTAGGTTTGCAACCTGTTTGTGTGTTTGGTATTATATATATTTTTTTCTTCCCATTCATGAACCTTATATACTTAGGTTCCAAGGCTCCGTTAATTGAAGAATTGACTAAATATTATATTTCCGTCAATTCATTCCCAATTCTACAATTCAATTTCCAACATAAAGCGTCACTAGATAACACACGCAACACATAGATTTTTTATGAATCAATAGAGAAAATCGTAAGCAGATAACTTTCACCACGATTTCAGTTTTGGGATGCATGCGCACGTATACTGTTTTAAACGACTACACAACTCATAAACCACTAGCGAAATTCAAAAGACCAAATCATACAACATTTCCATAAAAACAAAAAAAAAAAAAACACAATTTATGACAAATTTTCAGTGTGCCACAATTTCAGTTTCGGGATGCATGCGCACATACTGGCTTTCAGAAAAATATTTCTATAAAAAAAAAACACAATATATGTGAACAACTGTAACATAAGAAGCTGCAACAACTTATGATAATTTTTTACTGTAGTTTTACACGGGGTGTTAGACCGCCGTGCGTGCACGGCGTGACCAAATCTAGTAATGTATATATACATAAGATAAACATGTAAAAAAACATGTAAAGTAACCGTATAGTTATACTTAAGATAAACAACATATAAACAACAATGAAACGGTCTAAAACATAATACACAATAATGACTACAAAATCTCCTTTGATATCAGGGATTGTAAAGCAAAAAATTCAGATAAAATAGGTCTCTGTGATATCTCCTTCAATAAAAAAAAAATCAGATATACTGTACATATACTACCTAATGACCACAATATATATACATAAGATAAACAACATATAAACAATTCTGAAATGGAATAAAAACATAATACACCTTGACATTAAAAAAAAAAATAAGATTCTAAACAATCGAGAGTTGACTTGGCTCGTGGCTTGAAGGTTCACTTTCTTTGCCTTCACTTCATGATTGTTTTCATTCGTACCCCCTCTCATATGGTTCGATAGGCGAGAAAATAGATGACTGCAAATCACCGTCTGCTTTCACACTGACACGTGGGCTGGGCAACCGTGCACTCAGGTCAGGCAAGCATCACCTTCAAGAGCCTTCATCAGTCCGGGCCTCATGCGTTGCACTACCGCTCATTGCCCCTTCGAAGTGGATCTCCAAGGACCCGAAATTGAAAGGCAATTTCTAAAATTTGTGAAATTGTGTGCAGTGAGAAATTGTAGAGAAAAGATCAAGGATCGAAAGAACGAAAAAAGAAGAAAAAATGAGGTGTGTGAGAGAGAATACGGTTGGAGGCGTAAAGAGATATAGTGAGAGAGAGAGAGAGGGAGAGAACACGTAATAAATAAGGGTGAGAGAGAACATATAATCATGGAAGT